CTCAACCATTTGGAGCATTCTTCCTGCTCTTTTGCCAACCATGATGGGTAGGATGGATCCGATACGGCTGGCGGAGCCTCCCTAAGAAATTGCCACGAGAGTATGGCGGACTGAATACGACCCGTGAGAATTGCTGGAGCAACGCCTATTGCTTCTTTGATCTGAACTCCCTGGAGACGATCCAGGCGGGTATTTGACGTGACTGTCAGCGCATTTACGAGAAATGACGTCACGAGACAATAGCCACACACTCACGTCGAGGCGTGGACGCTCCTCTGCGCGTGGAAGTAGTTGCCACAGGTCGACAAATAAGTGCCAGAAAGTCACGTACTGAGCCACAGCGCGATGAAGGTCTCTAGAGGGTGACGGTGCTAAAGTGTCGGAGTCCTTCAAGCCGACTGCAACATCACTCGCGTCGGATAGCGCAGAGTACCCTCGCTGCGCAAGATCAAAGACCATGCTGATCAAAAGCGATGATGACAGATTGACTCCTAAACGGGAGTCCGTGATCGCCGGCTGGCGATTCAGCAGAAGCCCTTGAATTTGGCGAGGAAGGTCAGTACTTCGGCTGATCCCGAAGATACATGCAGAGAGCACACTCACCTGCTATGGCTTTGTCCTCTAGCTGCGCTACTCCTCGTGATGAAAAGTGAGGTATCCATCGAACGAAAGAATGTGGATGATCCACAGCTAGCTTGTCAAGCTCTGGCTGCTCCAGGATATCCGCAGCTCGGTACAAAGCAGCTAGTGGCTCGCGCGTCGAAGTCTTGCCCAGCTTCGTTCGATAGCAGCCAAAGAGAATAGCGGAATGTCAGGTGCAGCTCAACAGCGATTCTTCTTCCCCAAAAGAATACTCACCTTGAGCCCGTGGTGGATCACATGCTCTCCAGCCCAACACCATTTTTCTAGCCGTTCATGCGCGGCGGCGTGTCGGAGAGGAAGAAGGGCAGCAGCCAGGAACATCCGCCTCCGCTGCTCCTTGTCTTTCAACGCAGCCAAAAGCCCTTGTGCTTGTTCACGAAAGAGATCAGAATCAAAAAACAATTCAAGCCGCGGGTGGTCTTGGACTGGCCTTCGGTCCTTGAAATGAAGAGTCGGCAGAGCCTCTGGCAAGACGCTTCGGTACATGCGATCGAGTATGCAGGAGGCTAGTAATGCTGTCTGAGCAGGCTGTACGGTCGCTTCGCCACCAAGCGCGTCTGAATTGACCGTCGTAGAGCCCAGTGGAAGCTGCTTTAGGGGTTCAGACAGGGGCGAAAGGAAGACGAGTGGGTACAGACCAAGGGCGTGCAGCAGGTGGATGGCGCGGTGAGGATCGGCACCTGCACGAGAAAGTCAAAGTACCGGCACGTTTAGTGAAAATCGCATGGCGCCAGCGTCGTTCGTCGCTCACCTGCTAGCATCTTATCCACCTCTATTCCCACTCTCTCCCTGCTAATTTTGTCCCTCAAAGCCGCTCTAACACCCTCCCCTTGCGCGCTCTCCAAGCAATCCCAGATACCGTCATCCAATCGATATCCCAACCGGGCCGCAAACCTCACGCAGCGTAAAATGCGCAATGGGTCGTCCGTGAAGGTCTGAAGAGCTTCTAGCGGGGTGCGGATGATTCCCTCTTGCAAGTCTGTGATGCCCATGCCTGTCAAGTCTTCCACTTTTCTGGTGTGGACATTGTAGAAAAGCGAGTTGATCGTGGTATCTCGGCGAGTGGCGTCTTCGAGGGGCGTTCCGAAGGTCTACGAAGCGCGTGAAGGGCACGAAGACATCGAAGCGTAAGCTCCGCGAGGCAAGTGATCATTCACCCAGGTCACGTTAGCACTCACCATTGTTGGTATGCGAGTCTCGCCATCATACACTTCCTTTCTGAGGTTTACAAAGTCCAAACTAAGACCTGCGAGCACAGCAGTAGCCGTCTCCAAATTCTTGCTCTGCTCAGGATTCGCCTCTATGCGAGTGATAGACCCGAGCCAAGGCTGCTTTGATGAACCTCCAGCAGCAACATTGAAGACGGGATGCTGCGCCAGCTGCGAAGAGGCGAAGTCGGCTGATTGAAGGTACTGCGATAGCAGCAGGGCGTAGGTGTGACCAGTCAAGCTGGACAGCGAGACGTCCAGATCCGAGGAAGGCTGTGATATAAGCTGAAGCCCAGAGCATTCACGAATCACTTCAGCTCCTTATCGCTTCCAGATGATCGCACGATGTGGGATCATCGCAATTGCATGGCTCACCTTATCCCTGACCCAACCTCCAGCTATTCTCGCCTCGCACTTCCATCCTTCGTGATATTCGATGTGCACAGGCTCGACCCCAGCTGCAGGTTCTATTTGCGGTTGGTTCTGCTCAATCCATCGACACGTGTCGGCCAAGAGCGCGACTATAGCGTCCTCCTGCGACGAAAGGCTAAGAGCGAGGGAAGAAGATTGCTCTAGCCTTGGCATCGTTACAGCGTTTCGAAGCACGCAGACGGCGAAGGGGCTCCTTCGCTTCTCCCGAAGACCCGCAAGAGAATTTTGGGAAGGGAGCCGGAGCGCGACGGTGGCACGCGCAGGCTGGGTAAAGGCTCTGAACTTTGAGGAGGGCAGGGCCTCTCGTGTATTTGCACCTTCACTCTTGAGCCTCGGTCGCAGGAGAGCCTGTGCGAAGCGCATGAACCCCGTTCTTCACCGCCCGCGCAGCTTTGACGAGAAGTGTGAGTTGGTCGCCGAGATGTTCAGTAGCTGCGCGCTGTATTGAAGTCGCGCAAAGGTAAGAAAGGAGATGTGATGGAAGTCCATGGACCGAGTCACCCATCTCTGAATCGTCACCCAGAGTGACGAGTCTTCTGACTCCATCGCGTTCGTTTTGAGTGCTCAAAAATCGCCAGTGCGGCTCAACACGTGACTCGCTGACGGCTCAGCCCAACTTGGCTCGTGCACCACGTTGCGACCCGTTTGATCAGTTTTGTACACCAACGTCACCTTTCTCCCTTCCCACGACCATCATCGACAGTCTGGCTTGTGGGCTTAACGCCAACGTCGTGACACTAAAAGTAGTGCATTCGCGGCTCACGCCGTGCCGCGTCAATCACTCGCGAACCGGAGCCATGAATGCGAATCAAATTCCATCTGGGCAGTGGCATACATGCTATGTAGCGCGGAACAAGAAGCGTGTCATGCGTGCGTCTCCGTTCGCAGTGGTCTAGACGAGCGCAGCACCGACAAGCACGACTCCGATAGCGATCACCGACGCCGAGCTCTTGATCGTTGCTCCCCCATTTCCGTTCTTGCCTGAAGGAGTAGGCGAGGCACTTGAGCTGGAGCTGGAGCTCGAGCTGGGGCTGGGGCTGGAGCTGGAGCGAGTCGAAGTACTGCTCGATTGCGAATCGACATCATCGCTGCCAAATATTTGGGTTAATCCTCCTTCAACGTTGGTGAAAGAGCCGCCAGATGCCACGCAAGTCGTCTCTCCGTTGATCACATTGCTGCGAAGCGCACGGGTCGGGGCAGACAAGAGATGAGTAGGGACATCAGGGTGAAAAGGCACGTACGTCGCAGGGAGCAGGTGCAGGCGCACTCACTTTCTGTAGCCGTCGGGACAGCAGAGGAGGACATTGCCGTTGCCGCTGCATCCATTGCCATTGATGCCCTGAGAAGGGTCATAAGTGGAAGTGATGGGCGCCACTGTAGACGCAGACGAAGCTGTCCAAGCCAGAAGGGTCAATTGATGGATGCACATGTTCACGGTCAGCTAACAGCGCACGCGATGCTGAGGAATGGCCTTAAAGCAGTGCGACTCACAATCTTGTCGCACAGCAAGAGCAGTGGGGCGTGGGTTGGGCGCTGCACTGACTGAGCAGATCAGAGCTGTGAGAGCGACGCAGGCAACAGTGACCTTCATTGTGAATGTGCGGAGATGATTCGAGATGGCTTGGGTCCAAAGTCGAAGCTATGCTATGCTATGCTTGAATGGGCGAGTGAAGATGCTGGACAGGCGCAAGAAGGAAAAGAGGCTTGAAGGCAAGATTGAGGGCCCGAAAGAAAAGGACAGCTATTTATACCTCGCAATCCTCCATTGCTTCGATCGATCCCCCGCGCCAACCACTCGGGGACGAGTCATGTGCGTTGCCATCCCACGTCATCCAGACGCTACTCAGAATGAGGACCATGTGGTCGCCTCAGTGTTGTTGAGACTGGAGTAGGAGCGCGTCATACCGCGTGCGGTAATCGAGGCCAAGGTCCCCCAAACGAACGCCGAGATGTGAATGTCGACGGACCACGAGGTCGTCAGGCTGTGCGCAGAATGTGGGACGCTGTGTGTGCAGCAGGTTCTAGCTGACGGTCGAAGGCGCTGCCTGCCTGCTCGCCTGGCCTTTTCCAACTGTCAAAAACATTGTGGTTAGGAACGCTTCATGCACCTTTTACGACGAGCCTAGCAGCATGCACTTTGTATTTTTGTCGGGCTCGCCAACATGCATGAACAGCGATGTGCCGGAGGATAGGTGCTGTGACGCCTGATCAGACATTACACTGCAAAATGTGAGTGATCTCGCCGTGGGCCCCGAGCTAAGAAGCAGGCGTGCTACAGCGGGAAGTGAGTGTAGGGGGGACAAGATGAGCAGCAGGGGCATGCAAGACCAGCAGCTGCCGGAGGTCATAACGTGAGCGCACCAGCGGACTGGTTCAGTGATCGCAGATGCCTCCACAGCAGCA